ATTTCGACCCAGGGGAAAATCCGGGTATCCATAAAGAAACAGAAACCACAAACAAAAGTAAAAGGAAAAAAGACTCAGATAATGAAGACCCTCTTTCAAAACTACCGCGAAACGAAACAGACGAACAATCAAATTTCCCGCCAATTCAAGAAACCGTCAACTCTCTCCGAACACAACAACAAACAGCAGCAACAAACACAATGTCCTTAAGACAAGAAATAAAAAAACAAGAGTGTATCCAGTTGGCAAAATTACTACAAAAACAAGAACTATGCCAATAAAAAAATTGTTAAATGATTCAATTGAGGAATGCAATCAAAACATTAACAAAGAAAACTTAGTAAATAGAGTAATGAAGACATGTTCAGAACTTAAAATTACAATAATAACAAACGTTACTTCAAACATAACTCAAATACCACCATGGTTCAACATTTATCAAAACACAGAGACCAATTTTATGCAAAATCTCACTAAAGATACATCAGAAGAAATAATAAGAATCCAGTTCAACATGATGGACAAAACAATATACAAAGATCATAAAAAGATATTTACTGATGGCTCCAAAACAGAAGAAGCAAATTCCACATCAGCAGCAATTTTCATTAAAGATAAAAATATCACAACTATGTGGAAATTACCAAAAGAAACACAGGTAATTGAGGCAGAGCTTTTTGCCATAAAAGAAGCTTTAACCCATTCGCCCCGGATTTATGTTCTGTCCCCCGTAATTTTTGGTGAATTTTGTTACATACAGATGGCTCTGCCGGCAAGGAGTCTATCAGTAGGCCCTAGTTACCGACCCTGATTTTTCCATTCACTGAATTGGCGGGAAAATTAATACCATTGCTATCGACACTGTTATTATTGTTATTGATGTTATGATTATTAAATTGTCATTAGAATATTTTAGACAATGAAATGATACAGAAAACCCTTTCCTAAAGTGAAGGAAACGGGTAAACAGGGGAAATAGGTAGTTCTTGATAACTGGCTGTTTGGTGATTAAGAACTTGTGGAGCCATCTATGTGTAAATACAATAAATGAACGTATATCAAACTGGGCATGGCATCTATTCTTGCCACATGTGGCGAATGGGTTAAGATATATTACAAACAACAAGATAAAAAACTCAGTGATATACACAGACTCAAAATCAGTACACTCCATTCAAAATACCAACCCCAAGAAATACAAAAATATAATATTTGAAATACATTCAATAATTTTAAGCCTAATGGAAAACAAACATAAAATAATGATACAGTGGATACCAGCACACAAAAATATAAAAGGTAACGAAATAGCTGACCTTGCAGCAAAAACAGCACATAATATAAATGAAACTTTCAACATAACTAAAGATATATCGAATGTAATAAAAGAAATTAAGAACAAAAGCCTTAAGAATTGGGAAGAATATTTAACTAATGCCCTAAACACAAAAAATTACTATTTAAAAAACACCAGTCCTCAACCATGGACAAGATCCAAAAATAGAAAATTAGACACATGTATAACAAGAATAAAAACAAAACACACCAGACTAAAACACCATCTTCATAGAATAAAAATTGAAACTGATCCATTTTGCAGATGGTGTCTTAATCAAGAAGAAACAGTGGAACATATATTTCTCCATTGCCCAAGATTTAACTCAAACAGAGTGGTTCTTCTCGAAGCATTAAAGAAAATAAAAATCAGCAATCCTAATGTAAAACAACTGATTACAGGAGAAGATTTACCAGAGGATCAGAAGTACTACATATTAAGACATACAAAAATATTCCTACTAAAAACAAAAATCATAGACATAATATAAAAAGAAAGAAGAATTAAGAAAAGGTTTCGGGGGATATAGACAAAAAAAGAGTCTAAAACCCTATAAAAGAAGAAAGAAGAAAGTAATTATGATGTTTACAATAAAAATAACACCATCGATATTCATAGCACTAGTAAAAAATACATTTTTCCCTGCAATCAGGTAAGGTCACAAGGTCTACTAATTGATTCCTTTCCTGCTAAGCACTACCAGAGCCATCTATGTTTTGAGACATTTCACAAAATATATAAAAAAAAATGAGCACAGCATTTTCCTCCATTTTTATTAATTTTCCCCAGATTTTGCCAATGAATATTCTCCAATGAATTTTTTTTCTGTACTTCATAAAATTAATTTATTATAAATAACTTGAGTCTTCTAGCAAGCTGTGACCATCCTGAATAAGTTATGCAAACTTGGTAAAATAAAGTAACCTCAAAGGGTTCAACGTGACAACTATGTGGGAATTATGAAAATATATTGAGGTCGGCATTTCTGAAATTATTCGTTCTCAACTAAAATAATACAACAATTTAAAACATTCAGTTCAGCTTTAGTGTTTTTGTTTTTGATTTTCAGCAAAGGCAAACACAGCTTTATTATGTAATCTAATAATATTAATAATATTAATAATAATAATAATAAAGATGATAATAATAATGATAATAATAATAATAATAATAATAATAATAATAATAATAATAATAATAATAACAACAATAACAATAACAAAACAACAATAACAGTAATACCATTAATAAAAACAAAACAAAATAATAACAATAACAATGAAAACAATAATAATTATAACAACAATGACTTTTTACTTTTACACAAGAATCCAATCTTGGAATCATTATTCCTGCAGACGAGCCCCATTATCTACCATAGCAAATGATATAAACGATAGTATCGGCAATGTCTACGAAGTGACTGCGACCCCAGAGGTTAACCCATTGCTGCCGGGGATGGCATGTACGTACATGCCATTCCCACTGTGAGCCGACTTGTTCGATTGTTTTTACACATAGATGGCTACACTTGTACTAAGTGTCCAATGAGCCAATTACAAGTACTGCCTGTCTCGCCCGTTCACCCTTTTCATCGATTTACGAAAATATTTAACGTTATCCTAATTTGCTGTTAAAAATTACACCATCTATATTTATAGCACTAGTAAAAATACGTTTTTTCCCGCCAATTCAAGGAAAGGGGAAATCAGGACTAGCAGAGCCATCTATGGGCAGAGATATTTCACAAAAAATATAAAAAATGAGTACAGTATTCTCCCCATTTTTTGTTAATTTTCCCCGGCAGCAATGGGTTAATTCCCCATCACCCCAGAGATTAATTTCTGAGGTCCCAGAACCAGGGTATCGAGCGAAGCTAAAACCCAAACCTTACTTTTGCTGCCTTCTATTTATTCCCAAGACGCAGGGGCAAGCAACCTGTACCCCGTTTACCTGCCCTTTATGCCGATTTACAAGAAAACGCAACATTAGCAACTCTGACTGTGTTGGTGTTGGTGTTGCGGCATTCTGAGTATGGGGGATACGAAGGGGATTTTTTTCTCTTTTTTTTTTTTATTTACCACATAGCGGTAAATGTGAGGCCTGAGTGTTCGTCACTCTACTTCTCATGCCCTATAAGCCTCCAATTTCCTTCCATTCCCGCGCGTCGCTCTCGGCAACACCAGCCCCAAAAACCTTGCCGTATTTCCCAATCTCGGGATCCAACTATTTTCGCCTTTCCTCCGACTCTCACAGTGCTGTTACACCTTCCCTGGAAATGTATACTAAAATCCGATGAGTTGCGCGCCTTTCTCATTATCAACCGCCGTAGATGGAGGGTCTAATTTTCTGCCATTCTATCCAGTATCGCACCTTTTGCCATAGAGGGAAAGTGTCTTTGCTTTCGTCAAGGTAAACACTCTATACATTATCATCATCATCATCAATAATAACAATAACAATAACTACAATAATAATAACAATAATAACAATAATAATAATAATAATAATAATAATAATAATAACAACAATAATAATAATAATAATAATAACAATAACAATAATAATAATAACAATAATCTTAGATTCATTAGATTTATTAGATTCATTATCTTTTCTTCTTTCTTTCTTTCTTTCTTTCTTACTTTTCTTCTCCTTTCTACACGATTCTATGGCCTTTAATTCCACGTTTAACAGAGAACAAGATAGGAAAGGAGGACATTACCACTCACGCACCTCTTCTTGGCTTCACTCCCACCCCACACAGCCTATTTAACACGCAAACAACATATACAACATAAAACATAATTGGGGTCCAACGAGGTCCTCTTTTCTCCCCATTTCTCACCGTAAAATAAGCCTTAAGGAAGACTAAGGCGGCTCCTCCTGCCACTCCGCCCGCTGGACGTAAACTGAAGGACAGGGATTTTATCTTTCTCTTTCTCTTTCTCTTTATCTCTCTCTCTCTCTCTCTCTCTCTCTCTCTCTCTCTCTCTCTCTCTCTCTCTCTCTCTCTCTCTCTCTCTCTCTCTCTCTCTCTCTCTCTCTCTCTCTCTCTCTCTCTCTCTCTCTCTCTCTCTCTATTTTGTATATACATATATATATATTTTTTTTTGGGGGGGGGGGATGGGGATGGGGAACAGGACAAGGATTTTCTCTTTAATCTCTCTCTCTCTCTCTCTCTCTCTCTCTCTCTCTCTCTCTCTCTCTCTCTCTCTCTCTCTCTCTCTCTCTCTCTCTCTCTCTCTCTCTCTCTTTCCTCTATTTTGTATATATATATACATTTTTTTTTTTGGGGGGGGTATATTGTTGCATTTCGGTTATGTGCTTGTGAATATGATGCTGCAATAGGCATTTTTTTAAATATACATATTTGTGATATGATGTAATAAGCATGTATCTTTTTCCCATTGACACATTTTGATATTCGTTGAGGATCATTTCATGTATATGTCATCGATTTTGTGTTCAGTACGTGATTATACAGAGCTTTAGACAATACTATAATGATTTACCTGTTGCAAACCAACACATAAATAGCATTATGATTTAGCGTCAATAAACCTTTATATAAAGAATTGCCGCCTACATATCTTACACGTATTTAAACCCACAATGATTTCACCCTTCAATAATTAAATCTGAACATTCTTAATAAGTAATA